CGCCGTGAGGGGGAGCGGGGCGGGACCTGCCCGCGACCCACTGAGGGACCGAGCGGGACCGGCCCCGGCCCAGGAGGGACCGGCCCGTGGCGGCAGCACCGCCCCAGGCACCGCTTGGCAGCCCGAGCCCTGCCACGGCCCTGTGGGACACAACCCGTCCCCGTGTGCCCGGATCCCACCTGAGGCTGAGCCGGCCCGTGTTTCCCCACAGCCTGGAGAGGCCGCCACGGGTCCAGGTGCGACATCGCTGTCCTTGTCCCTGGTGTCCATCATTCTCACCTGTACCAGGTGTGCCACGGCTGGCCCTGGCCCTGGCCGTCTGTGTACCCATGCCCTGGTGCTCCCCAGGTGTTGACACTGTCCCTTGTCCCAGCACGAGCCATGCCTGGGTGCCAGCTCCGTGCCGACACTTGTGGTGTAGGACAGCAGAGGTGCCATCTGTGAGCTGACAGGCCACCCATGACCCAGCTGCCACCTGAGTGCCTCACTCGTGTATAGGGGCCACCAGTGTCCAGGTGTGCCCCCGGAGCAGCCCCCATCCATCTGCTGTCACCACTGGTGTGCCAGTGTCAGCCGTGTGCAGATACCAAATGTGTGCCCAGACATGCCCCTGTCCCCTCCTGGCCTGGCACAGCTCAGCACGGCAGGGCCCTGGCCATGCTCAATGCTCATCCCCCCACCACCAGGACCCAACACACCTTTTCCCAGCAGAACAACTCCTTTATTTTTCACAACCCCCTGCCTTTGGCCATTTCATTTTCACCATATGAATAGGGAGAGGAATTGCTCAGCATGGAGAGAACCAGGGCTCACCCTGAAGACCTCAGTGGCCAGTTTCCAGCTGTAGCAATGGCTTTGCTGTAAGTTTAAGGGAAAATAGTTCTTTCCCAAATGGGTAAAAATAATGTGCATTAGTTTTATGTGCTTTTCTCCCTCCTGCCATAATCATGTAATTGAAAATTTGAGCTGCAGTTGCTAATCTCGTCTGAATCAGTTATCTACACAGATTAGACACCTTATAACAGTTTTAAAACATTAAACTAATGTTTTGATTCCAAGCCTCAGGCATGATGATTGGCAGGGAAAAGCAACCCCTGGAAAATCAGACCAGAGGCCAGCTCAAGGCCCAGGTCAGAGTTCGAACCGACTGTGTATGTGTTTGGATTTTAGCTTGTTGTACTTGGTGATCAGGTCCAGCTTGCTGTGCCCCAGAGTCATTCTCTTCTCTGCCCCATATGCGCTGTTCTTTTCCAGCAGCATATCCTCCGGGAACTTGTCATAGCAAGGCACTACGGACTTTTTATCCCGTTTGAGGTGGCTGTATGGGGAGAAAAGGTCAAAATGGCCATGTCCAGGGCTCTGTCTCTTTTCCACCCCATAAAACACATTCTCATTTTCAGCTGGCAGTTCCCCGGAGGTGGCCACAGGTGCTCTCTGCTTCAGGCTGGTCCCATTGCTGCCGGTACCCTCTGACAGGGACTGCAGTGGCTGCCCCACTCTCAGCGGGGAGCAGTGGCTGCTGTTGGCCTTAATATCCCCCTGGTTACCAGGTTTATTGGAGGAAGGCTCCGGCTGCAGGAATGTCCTTGCTGTTATGAGGTTTGATTTGGGATACGAGGCTGAGGAGGGTTTATTTGGAGGACTGTTCGCCGAGTCTGGTGGTTCTTCTTGCTGTTTAGGGCAGGTGGGCTTCAGGAATGTGTCTTCCTTCCCCTTCTTATTGCCAGATTCAGAGCTGGAATCTTGCTTTTCCTGGTGTGCACCACAGCTCAAGTTTTTCATAAAGGGAGACACTTTTATGCTCCTGATGCTTACATTGGAAAGGCTGCTGGAGGGGCTCAGGGTCTCAGTATCATTCCCCTGAGTGGGTCTTAGAAGACAGTTGTCAACTTTTGAGGTATTCCAAGAAGAGAGACATGTCCCAGGATCTGGCTCACAGAAGCTGGTCACTGCTCTGGACTCTGCATACAAGTACCGGAATTCCTTGTCAAACTCTGCAACAATTTGCCCACGGAAGTGGGTCACCAGGCCGGTGTGGACTTGGCTGCAAAGCCAGGTGAAACTGCAGGAAAAGGAACAAAACACACATAACTTTAGTTCACAGCATGCCAAAATGCCTAGCACGGATTTTAACATTCCAGTGATGGATTGCTATCTGATTTGTGTTGTTAAAACTTTATCTAAGCAGGCAGGTATGAAGGCTGATGATGTTTGCTGTAAGTATTGCTGTGGGATTCCCAAATGCAACAGAAGTTAATTCTTGGCTCAACAAGTTCAGTCCATCACAGTTAACTGTTCTGAGATCTTTTCTGGGAACTTGTCATATTCTACCTTAAAACCAAACTGGTTTTGCCCTAGCTGGAGAAAAACTTCCATTAATTGCCACCCTGCAAATTTTCCTTATCTATTTAACCCTACCTCTTGTTTGTGCCCAAACTGTAACCTAATTAGCTCTTCCCCAATATAGCTACAGATTGTAACCATATTCTCCTAATCCTCCTTTCCCTGATTAAACAGGGATGTTCCACTCCAGAGTGGGATCCCTGGTCATCCCAGTTATCAGCTGATATTTTATTCTTGCTGTAGTCAAACCAGACCAGCAGACTAAATGTGTCAAATAAACCAGAATTTTCAGAGGTGGCAGTACCAGCTGAGAGCTGCATTATCAGCTGCTAAAGCAAGAAGAAAATAAAATGACAGGAGCTCCAGGAGAGCAATTGTCATGGGAGATTACATTCTTAAGTAAATGTCATTTCAGGACAAGATACAGGCACTGTGTTTTGGGACCTTGTCAATGTTTAGCTCACAAGATAGCTATTTGGGAACTTCTAGTAGGAAACCTATCTCCTGGCTTGTCCTTCAGCACTCTGCAGTTATTATTGGTCAGACTGGTGTTTGGTAGGTTTTACACTCAGCAGTCACACCCCCAAAGAGAAACATAAAATGAAAAAATACTCTGCTGCTTCATCTCATGCCAGGTAAATTAGGTAAGAATTGCAAAGTAGTAAAAAAATTAAAAGATCTTAAGGGTGGCATGAAGAGTACTCAGAAATACCATCCTGGAGGCTCGAAGCAAATGCATCCTTTCATAGAGATATCAGAGTGAAAAAAATCAAACCAGAAACTACCTGGGATGACTAAATGACAGAGGAGAAGCTTCTAAGCCCAGAGAAACCATCTTTGAAAAAGGTTGGGTCACACATTACAAAAGGGGAAAGAAGAAATATTCAGCTATATTTGAGGCACATGGTCTGTGTGCAACAGGGGTGTTCAGATAATTTCTCTGCATCCCTTTATTGTACAGGAGCTTGGGCTGCCCTGAGCCCCCTTTATGCAGAAGACAGGGGAGGATCAGTTTCCTGTTGAGATCTTGAGATTGAGTAGAAGAGATTAGAAAACATCAACAGAGCAGATATCAGCAACTGGGCAGGGGCAGGGATGATTAGCCCAAGAGCACCAAGGGAATGCCAGGATGAAATAGCTCAGCTCCTAACCAGGCTGTGTTATCTCCCACTTGAAAGGGCTCTGGCTATCAGAAGAGTGGCAGGGTGCTAATGTGATATGTTTTTAATGTTCCAGACTATTAAGTCTCACAAATTAGAGAGCTATAAGTTATGTAGATACACGAATTAGTAGACTCTTCTAAAGAATACAATTAATAGCCATATAGGAAATATGAGATAATAGGGAAGTCATCTTTGGCAAAGGAATGTTATCTCTCAAAAAGCCCTGAGAGTTCTTTGATGAAATCCAGGAGTCCAGACAGGGGAGATTTCATGGATCGACGCTGTCAAAGGTGTCTGTCCCAGGGTACGTCCTGGCTCCCAGGAGTGCTGGTGGCCCCAGCCACATTGTCACAGGATTGTCCCCAGTCCCAATGCTCCCAGCCATCTCCTCTCACCCATGTGAAATGCCCTTCCACCTGTGAGGGGAGAGCACTCCCCCAGCCTTATGACTGTCCCTGCCTCCAATGCCTCTTACCCTAGTGTATGCATTCCTGTGTCCCAGTTTCTCATGCTGATCCAATGGAGTCCTGTTCACTCTGTGTTGTGACAGTATCGGGAAAGAATCATCCAAGTCCCCTGGTGGCACAGCCCTCCTTGCCACAGCACAGGTTTCTAGGATGGGACAATGTGGTCCTGCCAGTCATGGCTATTCCCACTGCTACAAATTGATAAAGGTATTTTCTTCCCCGAATGGCATAGACAGGGAATGATTTCTGGTATAAAAACGAGGCACTGGATGAAGCTCAGGAGTTACAAATCCAATACAGATGGGAAGAAGTACTTGCTTGCACAACACAACACCCACATAGGCTTTGGAGTTTCTCCCGCTGCAGGCCACCCTGGATGCTAAAAGATCATAGGAGCTTCTAAGAGGATTGTCCTGACGTTATTTTTTTCCTATAACAAACCGCTGCTCACAGCACTTCTGGATCACCCTGGGACGCAAAGGACTCCAGGAGAGGATGGTTTTAGGACAGGATGCCCTCCCAGACTGTCCGGGAGCGGTGCAGCTCAGTCCTCGGCCGGGAGATGGAGGTGCAGGATCACCTCCCGGTCACTCCTCGCAGCACCCCCTGTCCCGGGGCTCTGGCGTGGGCCGGGCAGCAGCGGGGAGAGCACCTGCGGTGTTCCACAGGTCTCCGTCTCAGCAGCATTTTCGACGCCCGGATTAGATCCCTGCGTTCCCCGCTGTACAGCCGTGCTCTGCCTTGGGGTCACGGTGGCCTTTGCCTTTCCTCAGCTGTTTGTACAGCTGACTCTGGATCTCTGTAGTTGGCCTCCCTGCTTCACCTACTTCCACCAGATGACATACCAATTTACAGCAGAAGGTTTTTTGCTTCTTTCAGTAGTTTCTCAAACTCATTTTTATCGCTTTTCTGTCATTTGGGCTGTTACAAAGCCATTCTTTTCTTTCCATATGCCAACACAAATGTCTGTGTTTTATTTTTGCTTACGGCTAAATGCATGTACACCATAACACTCATTACTAGACCTTTCATTTCAAGTGGCATTTTCTCTGATAAGGTAACAACAACCTGCCTTTATTGCAGCAAGCTCTTTTAGCTTGCTCCCAACACACTTGAAATCATTTCCATTCCTTGATTTTCATCTTTGTTTTGATCCAAACCAGTGCAATGTATTCAACTAATTTGGGAACCCATGTCTGCTATCTCTCATTTCTTATTCATCCTTGCAGCAGCAGACCTTGTAGCTTTCTCCTGGATTCACTTTTTATTTACACACCTGAGGACTTGCTCCTCCCTGCTTCGGTGTGCGCAGCAAGGCTGTACATAACTCATCTCCTGGCAATGTCACTGCCTTGCCATGTGTGTCACCTGGGGTTTCCTTGCTGATGCACTTTGCTTCCCACTCCTTAGCACTCACTTCCTGCTTTATTAGAATTTCTTTCTTGAGGTGACTCCTCATCAAGTTAGATCTGCAAATGCCTCTCAAAGCTCTTTCCTCTTGCTTGGGCCATGGAAACCTGTGAGTATAAGCACCTTTCTTTGAAATTCCAGGCTTCCTCCAGCTTCAAACCCATGTAGCTTTATCTGTCCATTGCCAAACACTTGTGTACTTCAGTTTTATTTCTCCTGAAGCCATATGTGGAACCTTTTGCACTCTTGTAAACTTTCGCCTCTCATTTTTCAGTTTCAGCTGCTGTGTCAGCTTCAACCCCAGATCCTGAATTTCTCCCTATAGCAAACACTGGGCTCCTTCCTCTCTGTGCTCATGGCAGGACAGACAATGATACCATCTGTCATTTTCAGCAGAGAAATTTGATCTCCTCTAAGGCAACTCAAACAGCCATATAACTCCCTTTCAGGCTGACAATAACAGCTCTTTTCTCTGGTTCTAGTCTATCCTTCCTGTTCAAAATCCTGTTTAGCTCTATCCCCATTGGCCCTTGGGTTCCTCTCCCCTGCTGAAACAGTAAATATCTTAAGTGCTCAAATAAACACTCAATTTCTCCTGGTGCCCAGAATAAATCTAAATGGCTAGATTTACAATTACATTTAAGATTTCAGATGATTGCTTTGCCTAGATACCTCAATCTAGATTTTTTTCTTAATTTTGAAGAAATATAATGTTAAACATTTAATCAGTGTACACGTAGGAGTTGAAGGGTCTAAACTAATTTACCTACATTCGTTTAAGATAAGAGGAGTGAACTTGGTTTCCATATTTAGAAAATGATGCAAAAATGTTTTTGATCTGTACCAATCAGCAGCAATATATCAGAATAAATTAAAGAATCATAGAATCACACAACATCCTGAGCAGGAAGGGACCCACAAGGATCATCTAGTCCAATCCCTGGCCCTGCCCAGACCCCCGCTCCTGGAGCTCTGGCAGCCTCGGGGCCGTGCCCATTCCCTGGGGAGCCTGGGCAGTGCCAGCACCTCTGGGGGAAGCAGGACCTTTCCCTAATATCCAGCCTGACCCTCCCTGGCACAGCTCCATGCTGTTCTTATTGTACGAATGAATGAAACAGAAGTTAAAATATTTCTGCATATTTGGATCCTTTCCTTCATTGCTCATCTCCTCGTTGCAGAGCTGCCAGACTGGAGTTACTGAGTGGACAGCAGGAAGCAGTGGATTGCTACAGAGCAAAGCTGGGATGTGTACAAAATCACACAGGGATCACCCACTTCACTTTAAAAATAAATGCAATAATAATAAACTCTATTCTGAGAAAAGGACAGGATGGAAATCAGTGACACTTGGGTAAGGAATTAGAATCAATGGAGAACATCTGAACAAATAAAGCTGTGTTTAGAAAAGTGCACAGTGGCTGTACTGGGAACTTTCCAAGCAGAGTGCTGATGGTAAATAAGCCACATTGAGGGGGTCCTCAGAGACTGAGAAGGCAGAAAGCAGAGAGAGAGAAAGGAAGATCCTGCCAGGTTGAATGGGGGCCACTATGAGGAGAATTGCCAAAACTGCATTTTAGACACTGTAAATGACCACTTATTGGAAAAACTAACCAGAAAGCCAGCAAAAGGAGGAATAACATTACCAATTCAGAGTTTCTTTGGGAAGGCCACTCAGCAAAAAACAAACCATGACCTAGCCATATCAAATATTCTTTCAGGACCAAAATAATCCACAACAGTAATGCTTAACTTCAAAGAGACAGTGAGGAATGCTATTAAGAAGAAACTTAAAAGAGTAATCAAAAAGGGTAAATGCTTGAGGTGGCAAGAAGATTGTTTAAAGATGCTATGTTGGAGTCTCAGAGAAAATGTACCTTTCAAAATAAAGACATTTTAAATAATCAAAAAATCTCACCATAGTTAAAAGGTGCATTAAATGAAAATATTAAAGCAAAGAAATATTAAAGCAAAAAAATGGAAGTCAGCAACTTTCCAATATGAACCATGGAACAACCTATCATTTTAATATTGAACAAAGTAGCAGAGGAATGGAAAGTTTAAAATGTGAACCTTTTAACGAGCTCCTGGAAAAATACAAACCAGCCAGTCTTATTTCCATACTGAACAAACTGGTAGAAGCAAATAGAGAGTAAAATGATTAGATGCATAAATAACTATAATCATAACGCTGAAGACTCAGCATGTTTTTGTGGAAGGAAGCCATGCCTCAAAAGCCTCTTGCTGATCTTTGAGGGAGGCAGCGAGCACACAGATGCTTGATGCATCAAACTTGAACTTTGAAAGAGATTTTGAAAAGACAATTTTTATTGTTAGAAAAATTAAGTGACCATGGAGTACATACAAAGGAAAGTCTTCTCAAGAAGTGAGCAGTTGATTAAAGATACAAACACTAGCAATAGGTTTAATTTACCCACTGAAAACAAACAAGTTTTGTGCTGGGATCAATGCTGTTCAACATGTTGGGGAAAGTACTAAAAAATTGTAGAAAGTGTCCATGTCAGACCTCATGACAAAATTATTGTGGATAAAAAGAAAACTGGATAAACAGAAAGCACAAGAGGATCCTATGGTAAGGGGAGGATATGTGACAAAAAGATGGACAATTAAATGTCAAAAAATTCAAACTCTGGGCACAAGAAATTACTGAAAAGCCAAGGATAATTTACCTGGAGAAGAGATGGTGAGATTATAATGGAGGAAGACAAAATCATGGATGCAATCAAGAAAGTAAATAGGAAACACTTTTCTGTGCCCAGGTTATGAGAATTTGGAGACATCAAATATAATTATCTAGCAGTAGGTCTACTGTAAACACCACAGATCACTTCTTCACACAAAACATAAATTAAACTGCATAACCCCTTGCCCAAGGGTATCATGGAGGCCAGTCATGGTGGGAAAGTCTCTTATAGCAAACTGAACACAGAGGAGCACGTACAACATAAAACCCCAGAGTTCTGAAACCTCTGGTCCTTGCACACAGCATTGCTGAACTGCAAAACCTGCTGCTCGGTAAGAATACTCTTACCTTTGTTCCTGTATCATCCTGAGACACCCCTGGTTCCACCCTGGATCTTTGGCTTTACTCAGTAACTTTTCTCATCCTTTGCATCTGGCTTTTCCATCCTCAGGGACAGTAATCTAAATATCTCCTGTACAGGTTGCACTATACCCAGACGGGATATAGAGCAGACATCCCGATTTTCTGCTGTGAAAGTGTTTCTGACAAGTGTTGAACAAATTCCTCTACAAGAGACTATTATTGTTAGTCCAGAACATCCTGTGCTTACTGGCACAGCACAGAATCAAAACCCTATTTTACTGAAATACTGTCTTCCAGAATTCCAGAAGTTTCATCTCTGCAGAGATCTGTAGAAAGGGTGCACATGACAATCCTCAGTCCCTGCCCTGAACAGCATTGGGAGGAACCAACCTAGAGAGCTGCACCTGCATTTGAAGCAGTACCCTGACTCTGGACACAGGGAAATCAGATGTTCCTCTAGCTTGTTCAATCCAGCTGACACATGCTCAGCTTTAGCCATTCAAAAATGAGTGATCCAGTTATGTAATCCCCACCCCTGCAGTCAGTGGAGATGGATAAAGGGATTTAAAAGATGCCTAGATGTGACATGGGTTCATTATGGGCTCAGCAGTGCTGAGGGAACAGTTGGACTCAAGGCTCTTAGAGGACTTCCCACCTAACCAATTCTATGATTCTAACATCCTGTGTTTCCAGGCAGTGATTCACTCCATTGTTTTTAAGCGTCTTAGGATGGTCAAAATGCTACTAGACACTGCTCTCCATGTTGTTTAGAGATTTGACACAGTTTCAACCATGTACTTCCATTCGTTTTGCCAGAGTTTGATGAAGTGAGACCTCCACTCTTGGAGATGATGAAATCAACATCAGAGAAGTTTCATCTTGAAGCTACAGCACTGATGAGGACACTGCTAGCCTGAGGGTCCAGCATGTGCTCACAGAGAGATGGAAACTGAGAGAAAGGGAGAGGCAGAGCAGTGTTCAAGGAGATCTGGTGGAAAGAGAATAAAAGTATTGCCAGGACAACAGATTCACAGAGCAGGCTGTCCTGAGGATCTGGACTGTTTGTGGAGGATAATATGATGTTCAACAGCGTGAAAATACTGTGGGAAAGATCTTCAGGTGGAAAAGTAACTAAATAGAGTCTAGTAATAAAAATATAGCACAAGAACAGTAGTCCTGACCCTTTGATCAGAACTGTGGAGAACAATGAGATCTCTTAACTGAGATCACAGAGGCTGCAAAATTAGGATGGGCAACAACAGTGGGAGATTTCATCCATTCAATACACATACAGGTTAATGCTTCACTGGATGAAGCATGGAGAAAAACTTTTTGGAAGCAATAAATGATTACATGCCAGAATTAACTAGTCTAAATTGTTTGACCCACAAGAAAATATATGATTCAGGATGTGGTCTGGAATGGGACATAAGTCTTGGTTCCACAGGCAGAAGTGGAAGAACCTGTTTGTAAGAATTATCACAACACAATTTTAACTCTTTAGTGGAGAGCAAACAAAATAAATGCAGAATGTGGAGGTTCAATTTCAAGAAAGGTAACTATGTAAAAATGCAGCAATCTGTCAAAAAGAGTTGAAAGGGAGGAGATCAAAAATCCCCATGATGGCTGGGGCTGTAGGTTGTTCACAAATGCTGTACTGGCAGCCAAGGAATCAGTGGGCTCATTTGAGGCTGGGTTGTCAAAAGGGTGATGGCAAGGCCACAGCTGAGAACCTGAATTATATTCCTGCATCCACCACTGGTGCTGGTGACACTGAGATGTGTTTCATTCCTGTATATCAGCATCACCAGAAAGCCAAGGGCTGACTAGTTTCCCAAATGATATCACCTACAGAGAGGGCTCTGAATGCAGTCTTGAGGCCCACACACCCCTGGAGCTGCTCTCTACCCTGGGGCATGCAGAGTATGCTGTGAAGAACAAGATTCCTGCTGGCATGGAGAAGCACAGACTCTTGGAAAAGGACAACAGGACAAAGGAAGAGGCAGGCCCAGCTCACCAACCTGCTCAAGTTTGTGAGGGAGCCAATGAGCACATGGATGCCCTCAGGCATGGAGGGGTGCAGTGAAACCCCCAGGTTTGCAGGTGATCCCCAGGCCCTTCAGGTGGCTGGATACCTCACTGAAGGTGAGCAAATCCAGAAGGACCTCACAGAACTGAGCGACTGGACAAATATGTGGCAGATGAACTTCATTAAAGGAAAATGTGGTATATCCATAGGGGAAAATTATCTGTATAATGTTGAACATGGAACAGCTCAGGAAAGAGCTTGGAATCATCATCAGCAGTTGTCTGACAGCTCAGAGTGCAATGGCAACTAAAACATTCAGTGAGTGTTGGCCCCTGCCAGCAAGGGCCACAATGACAAACCAGAGTCTGGGCACCTTTTACCCCTCTTGAACACCTCAGTGGTCAGGGGGGGCACGTGCAGTTCTGGTCTCTGAACCTCAAGAAGGAGAAAGAGAGGTCACAGATGGTGCAGAAAAACAGAATTTAAAAGGCTGAGGCATGCAGCAGCCACCATATGAGGAGAAACTTCTGAGAAATCTGAGGTCTTCAAGTAAGAAAAGGGCAGGGAAGGTGGACAAGATGGAGGCTTGGAAAACAGTGAAAGCGCTGACTGAGGTGAATGCAGCAACATGCACCAGGAGGTAGATTAATCAGTATTTTGGTGAGGAATATTTCCTCAGTGTCACCAGTCTCTGCCATAGTAGCCGCTGTATTTTCTTACCTGTATGTACCAGCAAGAACTTGGTCACAATCAACCAGGACAAACTTCTCCAGAACCTGGCCTGCAAATTTCTTGCCTGCTTTGCTGTAGTACGTGTCTCCACTCAGGCATCTTATGCGCATGTTCTGAAACCAAAGCAGAGAAATTGGTAAGGGGCCATGTACTGAACTAAACTGAGATGTTCCCTTGTGCATCATGCTGGATTCCCTCAGGCTCATGCTCTGCTCCAAGAGGTAGAACTCAGCAAGGCATTAAGTATTTCTTGGCTCCTACATACCAAATGTTTTGTCATACTGCCTGCTTCTACAGGATGAAAAAACAGCAAAAAGGAACAAGTTGCACTCAAGTGAAAATTCTAGTTTAAAAAAAAAGCTTGGGAGAATCCTAAGAGCCTACAAATAATTTCTGTCATATTTAAAACTATCCAATTTCTTCCAAATTATTAATAATGTTCAACGCCCCACACTAGCTGATGGCTCTGCATTGAACTAAATTTTGATGCATACAGCTAGCTATCTAATCAATAGAATGTGCTGCTCTGATTTTATACAGTGACAGACTTAAAAGTAAAACATCACTCAATGAAAAAAGACTTGCAGAGAGGAATATCTACATTTTAAGGAGTTCCTTTTATTAATACATTTTAAAATGATATTAACATTAACTGAAGCAGATCTGACGCTCCCCTGCAAATACTTCTCTGATACAACCTTGGTCCGTAAAACCAACTACCCAGAATAAACTGGGGAATATGGCTCTTGGTATTCATTGGGAGCCTCTTTCATAATGTGAGGCATTTGCCCGTAACAGAAGTTATTTGCACCTCAGGTGAGGAAGGCAGAAGAGCAGAACAGTCACTGGAAACTGTTACTGACCTGCTCTGTGTGATACAGTGCCAAACAAAACATCTGGTGTGTAAATAAACATCCCTAAGGCGACACCTACACGGGGCTGCCAGGTCATCCCTTCCTGCCCTCCAGGCCAGCTCCCCTGACACCTGTAGCACCTCTGGTCCAGCAGGAGCTGTCACAAGCTGTCACCACCTGCATTTGACCGGGCAGATCCCTCTGTGGGCAGCTCATTCCTGCTGAGCATCAGCCCAGCTACAGACAAAGCCCTAGAGCAGCTGGTTCGGCGTTGGGGCCGATTTGCTCTTGGCAGAGGTGGGTGCTCAGGGAATGTGGCAGTGCCCCTCTGCCACCCAGCAGATTTCTGGCCAGGCACAGGCAAGGGACAAGCGCCAGCAGCTGGGATTTCCCTGCAGATGTTTCCCGCAGGGCACAGTCCCACTCCCCTTCCAGCCTTCCAGAGATGCCCATGGGCACCCCTGTGCCCCCTTCACCTGCCTCCTACGGGGCTGAGAGCAGTCACCCCTCGGGTGAGGAGTGAGGCAGGGACCCTACAGCAGCAACTCCTCTGCAGGTGGCTTCCCTCTGCTGTCCCTGCAGGCAGGAGCTGAGCTTCCCTCTGGGAACACCTGCCAAGTGGGAAAGGCTCAGCTCTCACATTGTAGTGAGGGTCTCCAGCCCACCCAGGAGCACCCAGGAGCCCCTCCAGGGCTGCACAGCAGCAGCAAATCTGCTCCTGACCAGAGCCCATCCAGGCTCTCTTGCAGCTAGAAGAGGACAATTATTTCTGATGCTGCCCCTAATACTGCTGCAGACCCTGTTTTCTGCTCAGGGGATTTCTTGAGCTTCTTCTAGTGATTTGTCTTAGTGGGAAGCCCACCATGATCTCTTTGTCAAGTACTGGTCCAGTCATCTCTTGAGTTCATGGAAACTTCTAGCAAGGACAGAGCTGAAGCTTCAGAATTTTGGCACTACAGCTCTCACTTGTTGCCTTTTTTTGTCCCAGAACATATCCTCATCTGCCATCTATTCATCTACTCTGTGGGGAAACCTTTTCCCCATAATGACAGTTGTGCATTGGAACATGTTACCCAGAGAGACTGTGCAGTCTCCATGATTGGAGATCTGCCAGATGAGACCAGGTAAGGTGACCTCACAGGTGACACTGTTTTGAGTGGGAGGTTGGGCTTGATGGCATCCTAAGATCCCCTGCATTAACCTGTGATCCTCTGAAATGACACCACAAGTTGCTGATTCAGACCAAGATAACTCTGGATACTTGGGTAGGTGTTCACCTTGTCCTGTGGCCAGCAGCACTTAGATTTTTTTCTTCCACTGCTGAAGTTTTAGTAATACTGGTTCTGACTGGGAGAAGCTTTCTTCCCCCCACTCCTTCCTAGGGAAATTAAAACAACTTCAGGAAAGGGATATTCCATAAATTTGTAACCACACTTCTTCTTCACTTCCTTTATCCTTTCCAAGACTGGGTGAGTTTCTGATATCTGGTTCATTTTTATCATCCTCCTCTTCCTCTTGTCAATCCAGACCCTGAATCATCCCAACAAAGTGAGAATTCAGCAGTCTTGCAGGAAAGACACCTAGGAACTACTCTTGCTCCATCCAGACAGTAGTTCAGCAGATGGATGATTGAAAACTCCAAGTTCAGGCTTCTGCTGTCCTTACTGCCAATGCTCCACACAGGATTTTCAGCACTGGAATTTGCCACCAGCAGACTCACATGTTGTTTTCAGAAGTAAGATGCTGGAGGGACAATTACCCCAAATTCCCCATTCAACCCCAAATTGTCACCAATTATTCCAAATGGAGATTTACCACCACATCCTGTCACAACTTAGAGGCAGGAATAAAATATGTACCCTCATTCCACTCAGATGTGTGTTCAGCCTGTAGGTCATGGACTGCTTAGGTGCATCAGTGTAAGACACACTTCAGATGGAGTGCTGCTAATGAGTCATGGAATGGGGAGGCAAGTGTTAATTACCCAATCCAGCACATGACATGACATCAGGCCTAACAAAGAGACATCTTCATGGATATAAACTCATTCTAAATTTAGTTTTTAAAATGGCCACCGCTTGGATAAGAAGCAATAAAATATATTTTGAAGAGATGGAATTAATTTGAATGCACCAGGTCACTTCAGTGTGGAAGCTATGGAAGCAAACATGCTCCAGCATGGAGCAGCTTTCCCCAGGAGCTGCCATCTTAAAAGTCAGGATGAAATGGGTCTGGCTTGTAAGAAGCAAGACAGGACAGAGCTTCACCTGCACAGTGGAAGAATCACAGAACCATTTAGGTTCAAAAAGATATTCAAGGTCATCGAGTCCAACCTTGTGAACTGGACCAGAGCACTGAGTCCCTCTCTAAAGAAGCCTCTCTAAATTAACCTTTGTGTAGACAGGCTAAAAATTAGGGAAAATTAAGACATCTTAATTACATCTATTTGGAATATTCTGTAAAACATTGTTTTTGCATTGTCCCTAGCTTGTTTTAAAGCTAGGAATACTTTCAAGTTAACTGGAAAATTTCCAAGTGTTCCCTACAAAAACAAAGGGAAAATCCATGAAACTGGTGGCTGGAGTGGAGTCAGTGCTCCAGGGAATCCTGTACACCCAGGGAAGGAACACAGCCATCACTGCTGGCCTTACAGGAATAACAAATGACAACAAAAAAACCCAACTTCCATTGGTAGGGAGTAGCTAGAAATGGGGATCAGCAAGATACTGGGCTGCAAGAGAGCTTGTGGCACTGGCACTATCATTTTTACTGTTCATCTGCTCTGGGCACCAGCTGGGTGATGGGCACCCACTGAGCAGGAATTGGGTTTTTCAAAAATCCCTCATGGATTCACAACTGAATTGCAAAGCCTAAAAGCACATCTTAACGTGAGATTTTTAACCTGTGGGTTAGCAGAAGGAAGTGATGGGGTTTGCAGCAGGACATCTGAGGGGACTCACTGCTCCCCAGCCATTGCCCTGCAGCAGCTCTGAGCAGAATTTAAATCCACAAGCTGAGGGATATGAATTATGAGCAATTTAAGTCTTGCAACTCTATGTCCTAGAGCAGGGGCTGTGTCCTCTTCCCCCATGTCTGGATGATAGGGGTTCACATAAACGAAATTTCCTGGCCTCACTCTGCATCTCTGCACTGGCCCAGAAAAGTGTTCAGCAACTCACTGCACCTCATATGCCCCAACTTCACACTTCCTGCATGAAAAACTGAATTGAGGACCATAAAACATCAATCTGTGGGACCAGGATGCTTCCTCTGTGCACACTTCCTCTGTGCATCCAGACAGATCTCAATTTCCTAGAACAAACAGCCTTGGTTTCTTAGCCTGGGACAGGGAGAGAGGGGATAAATTCTGGGGAGAAGGGATGAGTCCTAGGGACCAGGCAGAGGGAACAGAACATAGGGTACATCGTTTTTATCAATTCCAAGACCTGTTTATCATATCCAGTGTGTGACTGAAAACTTACTGGGAAGCTGTCCTGAGTAAGAGCCATTTTATTGCACATTTCCACAAAATGCTTCAAGTACTCTTCATCCAGAATCAGGTAAACAGGGATGTGCCTTCTGCTTGAGGCCTCCAGCAGGTCACACAGAATTTCCATGTCTGTAAACAGATCCATCACAATTGCTATCACCTGGCCAGAAAAAGAAAGCGGGGGTTGGGGAAAAGAAACACAAGAGACTGTTGAAATCTCATGGCCAAGTGAATTGTGATTTAAACTATGTGCTTTAAACTATTCAAACCTCCTGAGCTACTGAGACCCTGTGGCCACCGGAATGGAGATGATTCTGGACCTTTGTGTTTAACAACCCTTACCCCACTGTGGCAGCTAAAATCAAATTTTAATGACTGTGAAGACAATCTCCACCTCCCTCCTGTCTCATCTGCTGTTCACAGAAAGGAAGGGTAACACATGCACAAACTCTGAATTTCAGTGGTGCAACAAGCATGTGTTGCCTTAAGAAAACATGCCAAGAATAAACATATAAACAAGAGCTGAGACTGAGCAAAATCATTGTTCAGTCAGCAAGAGTGACTCTATATGACTAGCAGATTTATATGAAAAAGTATGATTTTTTTTCAGGATGGACACACTGCCAGGTGAGGGAGAAGGGATCGTGATAAAGTGTGTGCAAATCCTCAGTCCAAGATTAGATCCTAGGCATGCCTAGACAAAATCAGAGAATAATGTGTGTGGAAAGGATCCCTTCCCTTTCCTTTCCTGCTGGCAGAACTACTGTCCATGCAGCCAGGGATGCAAGCAATGGGTATGAAACCTGACAGGAGGAGGAAGGAATAATGCTAAGATTATTAAAGTAAAATAAAATTAAAAATAGTAGAAAATAAATAAAAAATAAATAAAAGTAAAAATAAAAATATACATATCTCAATAAAGCAAAAATAAGGTCTCCAAGGAGGGGGTTTTAAATAGGGAAAGACTTTTAAAGAGAACTGCCAGTTCTTTAAAGAATGATGTTGAAAAAGACCATGGCAATCCATCCCACTGTGGAGATGGAGTGGGAGGCAGCAGACTGTCATGGCTACACAAATTCTCCAAAAACAGGAATGAAAATACAGAAAACAGAAGGTAAGTCATGAGAAGCATCTACTACAAGCGAGTTGACCCAGAACCAGACAATTCAAAGTACAGAATGATCTGCAGCAAGAACAATGCATCAAGAGAAATCAGTCTTAAATAGATTCAGATGGGATTGGAGGCCCTGTTGCTCTGTTCCTCATGGAGTGAAGTTGCCAGTGGACAACACTGAGTGGGCCATTATTTGGATGAGGAAATGACTGTTGGGATCCATCTCTTGGCTGTCACTGTCAGCGACACCTTGGAGAAGGAAGGAACAGGCAGGAGAGCACTTGCTGAGCAGGATGATTTGTCACTGCACCTGAGGGTGCAGAGTACCTGGTGGCTCAGACCTTGAACCATCAGCAGTTAATACTGAGAACTCATAGGAGATGGGAACACACTGAGGGATGCAAAAGGGTAGGGGAGGATTTACCATCAGGCCAACTTCTTTTCAAAAGCTGAAAAAAATAATGGAACTACTGCCCAAGTACTTTAGTCCTGATCTTTACTATATCATAGTGAAAAAGGTAACTGGTACTTGTAAATTTGGTTTATAATCCTGACTTATGTTTCTGCACCTACCAGAGAATGTGCAAATAAAGATGACTCAAACCCCACTAAATCTGGAAGTGAAGTTCCAATAGCCTATTCTGCATCTCAGTGTTCTGTACCACATCTGGCACACGAAATGCTTGACAGTCAGTCCTGCTGCCATCATGCCCCCCATGAGGAAAGATCCTGTTTTCCAACACCTTCACTGCCTGTGTTATGTGCATGGCCACAAATGCAACTCTCCACAGTCCAAATCACCCTGTGGATCTCAGCCCTGCAGGGTAAGCCTTCCTTTGCCACTGCTGCTCACCTGCTCCTCTTCAAACCAAGAGCTAAAAATGCAGAGAACGGCAGTGAGATCAGCCTTTACATGTGCAGTGATTCAAGTTTTAAACAGGAACAGGGGAAACTGCAATCATGACATAGGGCTGATCTGGAATAGCTTCAGAAAAGAGGTAAGGAGCTCCAAGTTTAATTGTCCTTGGATTTGTGCTCTAGACTGCCACACTGGCCCAGATTGCTCACTGCCCAGTAGCTCTTCTGCTCTGTTTTCATTAATGAACTGCCTCTTTCCAGGCTCACACTCATGGCCTCAGTGCTGCCACATGCAGAGCGAGGCCCCTGGGCTTCCCTGTGCTCTCCAGCCCAGTCTTCTGCTTGGGAAGCTGGTTCATCTCAGCCTGTACATGTTTGTACAGAGCCACAGTGGAGTGGAAGGAACAGTGTCAGAAGGCTGATTCCTGCTCCCTTGGGGATTGAACCCTTTTACAGATGGACAAGATTTCATGGCTCTTTTTTGTCCCTAAAACCCATCTCTGTGATGATGCCCAGCACACTGTCATTGGTTTTCAATATCTTACAGGAGGCCCCAGGCCCAGCTCACCGCAGCAGGGTTTGGGGGAGAACCTTCCCAGAGGACGTGCAATGCCAGACATCCACGTGGGACACAAGGCAGCTGTCAAGAGCTAAAAATCATTCCTGCTGTCCAGACCAAAGCCACATCTCCACCCTCTCACCCTGGTCCCAGGAGATACAGGCTGCAGACCCTGACTCCAAAAGGCGCCTCTTTTGTAGCCCTTGTCAGTGCTATCTTCCCAGAAGCTTTACAAGGGTTTGGCAAACTTCTCCTCCTCTTGAAATGTGCCCATCTCTCCTGGAGAGCAGTCAGCTCTGGAGGAGCTCTGCAAGCACTGAAAAGCATCTTCAGCTTCCCAAATTAGCGTTGCTGCTGGTCTATCAGCACAAGGGACCACTGACACCCACAGTATAAAAGGACTTTGCCACATCTCTCCACACTGTCCTCAGCCAAAGGCCAACTGCAATTTAGCCAAATTACTTTGATGGGTCACACATCCTCTGATGATGAAGCACCATGAAAAAACTATAACCCAGACCTTGTGGAAAGCTTCAGGCAAGTCCCTCTCAGCCAGACTTTGCCTCATGATATTTGAGCTCATCTCAAGCTTCGGTTTGAGGCAGGTTTGTCCTGGAGACAAGCTAAACTCTGCTTGGGAAGTCAGTGTGATGCAGTCAAGGAAAACCAAAGCTGCTTTGTCCCCAGATCCCTCAAGTTCAGGGGCACTGCCTGTACCCAGGGTGCACAGGAAATCCACACCACCTTGCTTCCCTCTACCAGTGCTTGCAGGCTTTGGCAGGGCTGGTTGCCACAAGTCAGGCTGATCCTTGCCCAAACCCGGCACTGCCAGGGCCTCAGTGCTCACTGTGAGAGGGACGGGGCTGAGCAGGGGGCAGCACATGGCACAGAGCAGCCGTGGCAGGCGATGCCCAGGCTGGCTGCAGGTGGCCAGGCTGCGGTGTCAGCGAGAGCCCAGGCAGCGAGGCCAGCTTGTGCAAGCTGGGGTGGAGCCCTGATAGTCACACTCAGACTTTCCAAAGCGGGTCTCGGCTCGGTCGGGAGGTGGAGCTGGGCTTGGTCGGGAGACTGCAGCTGTGTTGAGTGTGCTGGTGTGCAGCACAACCCATGCTGGGCAGGAAGGACACAGCCACAGTGTCTCATTCTAACTGTGCTTATCCATAAGGGCACTGAGATCAGCACATCCCTTTGGAAATCAAAGCAGGCAGCTTTACAATATCATCACATCAACCCCAAAGCCGAGAAATTTGGGGGAAAGAAGACCCTGAAAGTTTTTTCCCCCCAAACATCCTAAAGCAATGGGAGTTGAGTATCCGAGCACCATTTGCAATTGAGGCTCCTGACAGCTCATGACACAAGGCTTTGGGCATCCAAGTCAATCAAACCTAAACAATTACAAAGCTAAACCTGTGTCAATGCCTCCGTTTCAGTGCTGGGGGTTGCAAGGCTGGGGCTGCCTCGGGCCATCCCTGCTCCTCACCATGCTGATCACAACCTCTGAGCCCATGGCTTGGCCTTGGCAAGAGGCTTGGCTACAGAGACACAGCTGCCCCACAGGCTTTAAAAAAGTTCACACCTTGCCATTGTAGGGTTAAATCATGACATTTCCAAACCCACTTCTGGAAACTCACAATTCAGCAATTACTGGAGTCATCGCTTTAGGAATTACAGCACTTACCAGAACCCCACTGGGGTTTGCCATCTGTCTGGTTTCTAACAAGCACAGCTGGTTTTACTGGTATTTGCCAATAGCAGTGTGGTTTGGGTTATTACTACAGTGGTGCCATTCGATCTCTTGCTCCCCTGGGGAGCGTCAGGGACCCTTCTGCCACCAGGCACAGACAGGAGTGCACAGCCAGAGTCCAAGGGGCACAAGAGAGGTGAAAGAAGCAGCATGGACAGTTCAAACCAGATTGGAGCTCATCCAGCAAGAGCAAAATTGTAATAGTATTATCAAATGAAGGCAAAGGTGTGGCTGCATCTTCTTATGTCTGCAAAGGGAAAAGCTCAAATCTGAACATCCATCTTCAAAGAGAGTTGGTTAAATACAGTGAAGGTGAAAGACCAACTGCACCAGCAAAAGATACCCATGAAACAAATGCTCCTTTTACTAATTTGTCAGTACAAATATGCTGTTGCAAGAGATGTCAGCTGACATTGTTCTGCCGGGGAAAAAGCAAACAGCATTTCAAGACACACTCCCAGTCTACACTTGGGGATCTCAACATCTTTCCAACCAGCACTGTATATCCCAGGGGAGGAGAAACACTCTACAAGAGGGATCCACAACAAAAGCTGAAAGTCTAGTGGCAAAAATGTTGGAAATGTAGAAACAGCAGCTGCAAAGCAAAAAAACAAGTGGTTCTCCAAATGGTTCATACTGGCACTTCAAGCAAAGGAAGTTTTTTACCTCTGGTTGCTCTTTTGTCATTACTACACATAAGTAACATCATTTTGGATGGTTTGTTGAGCAAAATGACTCACTAAGTACTTAAATATGTGTAACTGGGGTTGTGAATGAGCTGGAATTGCCATCAATCATGGAGTTAATCATGGGAAGCACTGGCCAGAGCTGCTAACCCAGAAGTCAGTAGAACACCAGTAATAAATCAGTAAGATACTTAAAAACTCATTCTCACATTTCACACAGCAGTAAAAAAATGTGTGAAATCCTGAACTCAAACATGAAGGGCAGAAGATTGTCAGGGCTTTGTCAACCCAAGCAAAGAAAGCAAAAACCTCAGACTATACTGAAAGTACAATAAAGCATCCACTGCCTGGGCAACTTGCCTGCAGCAACTGAGAGGTTCCTGCGAACTGAGAAAACAGCAAGATGTTTTTCCTGTGGCTTAAAGGAGCGTAATATCACTGAAGATCCGGGACACGTGCTGAGTAACAGGAGGACACTTCTTGGTAGTCATTTACTCTGTGCATTCTGCCATGACTGTGCCTTAATCCCCATTGCTGACAAGGATGGGGTCAATATCACAGAACATTTCAGATCATTTAAACTGCCATAAATCAGCTGCCTGCAAGGACAAACAAAGCTTTTTGTCGCTTATTTCCTGGACTAAAACTTCCTGTAATTACCTATAAGATGCAATAGAAGTTCAGGCATTAAGCAAGGGCTGCTTACAACTGAGCAGCAGCTCATGTGGCAAAAGAAAAAAGATCCCCATTCACCTCATATCACACCCAAACTTCACTGATATGTGGCTCTTTGAGGATGTTTTAATGCTGCACAGCAATCTGAGTTGCTGGGAATACATAAATGCATTTGCTCAGCTCTGCTGATAGTTATAGAACATCACACTTGAGCTGCAGTGATCCAGGTGATTCCTTATCTCCAGCTTTTGCACAAGCAACAATGAATATAAGGAGTGACTGTGAAGTTAAATAGGGAACTACTGGAGTGATAAGAGAAACTGCCAGAAGCTGACTGGTTAAAGTGAACTTTGCTCTAAATGTTTCCTCAGTATCTCAACACAAATACTACAAGAGAAGATTGATGTGAAACAGCTGAACAGAACCATAAATAGGACAAAGACAAAAGCTGGAAATGTGTTTGAGATAGTTGTCTGAGCTGCTGCTTTCACACAGAGTACAGTGGCAAGGCAAAAGAAACAACAAGAAGCATAATTGGGTGAATAAATTCATGCCAGCATTGTGCTTGCTAGGCAGGCACTGTAATCATCCAGTTTTTATTACATCTGAGGGTTGTAATAACACACCAGAAACTGTGCAATGGGGCAAAATGGGCTGATCTTACTCATCCTCAGAGAGGCAGACATCAAGCCTAGGAGACAGGATTCTAACTTAATTCAAACCACAGGCAGGGATTTTTCAGTCCCACAAATTTACTCAGGTCATATGTGGTGAGGTCCTGGGTAGTGTCCAAGGCCAGGTTGGACAGGGCTTGGAGCAACCTGGCTTAGTGGAAGGTGTCCCATGGCAGGGCATGGAATGAGATGGGCTTTAATGTTCCTTCCAACACAAACCATTCTGTGATTCTTTCTGTGACAGCAGCTCACCAGTGGTATTGTCTTGCACAGCTTAAAATGATGTCCAGGGCTGGAGAAGAGCCCTGGCTGCACAGAGGAAGCAGGGCTGGCTGGGACAAAGAGCCAGGGACACTGCAGGCCCTGCCATGCACCCACACCAGGCTCTGGGACTGCTCTGCATCCCCGCAGCCGTGGACATGAGAGCCTGCAAGGGCACTGCCTGGATGACATGAAATCCCAGGCAGAAAGAAATTACAAGAAAGGAAAGGAGCAGGAACAGCTACAGGTCTGCTGCAGAAAAAGCAATCCCATCATGAGAGACATGTAGAGAGCAGCGACAGCGTGGAGCGTGTGGTTACAGGTGTGGGAGCAGCCACCAGCCCTGGGCACTGTGGCACAAGGCTCCCCTCAAGGGACACAGCTCTGTACGTACCGTCCGTGCCCGGCTGATCAGAGACCGGACCAAATCCTTAATGCTGTTCGTTTTGTTTCTTTGGAAAATCACAGTGGCTTGAGTCTGGCCAGACACCGTGAGGAGTGGTGTCCCTGGCCACCCCAGCTCCAGCTCCGGAGGGTGCACATCAGACATGAGGGGGAAGTAGGTGCCCGATGTTAGTTCAGAGTTGAGGGAGAACCTGTCTCCAGTGTCTGTCTCACCAGGGTCAGCTTCTTTGTCTTTCATTGCACAGGGGTCTGGGAAGCTCTGGTTCCTCTGATGGCTGATGTACTCCATGTCCAAGGTGGAAAGAAATGGCAGCTCCCTCTCCTCGGCGATGGCGCTCAGGTAGCCGCGCTCCCCCTGCTCAAGAAAGGCATCGATGGCCAGCCTGGCTGTCTCGCTGTGCTGGAGCACCAGCGGGGTGGGCTCCCTCCACCACGGCTTCTTCAGCTGTTCCAGGCGGCTCTTCAGTGGCCCAGACACCCCTTGCTGGCTCCCATAGCTGCGGTGGAGCTGGGGCCTCACCTCGACTGCCAGGTAATTGAACATGACTGGAACTGCTGATGCCGAGAGGTGTCTCTCCTGCTGGATTAGTCCTGTGTCCGTCTTCAGCTGTTTTCTGCCCCTCCTGCACACCTGAGCTCCTCCCAACAGGTTCCTTCAGGACTCAGCATAAGCTCAACTCCTTAATCACCAGGTTCAGCCTCCCACACCGAGGGAGGAGCCGGCTTTCCCCAGCTCCCTCACCCGACTTCCCCAGACACACACCTGATACTGGGTGGCCAGAATGTCCCTTTTGCAAGGGGCAGAATATCAGCTCTTCAAGGTGTTTCTTCCTTTTCCTTGTAACTGATTAATGTACTGTCCTCCCCTCCCCTTCCCTTCCCTAGAGAGGTCCCCACCCTTGGCCTAGCAGGCTCTAACCTGTTTTGTCCTTCACTGTGCTCACAGTGGAAATGCAGATGCTGGAACTTGTTCCTGCTTGAAATTTGTTCCAAATCAAACATGCTGCTTACTGTCAGTTATAATGAAACACAAATATCCCAAGTGGGTAATCAGACTGAGCAGAGAAACTTACTCATCCCTGAGCCACAGACAATGCTCCTCCTTAGCATTTCTTGGGAGCTTGGCTCTGCTACACCAGCATCTGGCAGAGAAGCCAGAACATTCTATTTTTTGACACACAGAGTCATGGTGTTTGTAGGAATCACAGCAGGAATCCTGGTCATTAGGTACTGCAGGTGAGAAGAGCAGTATTTCATGTGCTCTTTTAACGTCTCCCTGGAAATCCTTCAAGGTCATTCAGCCTTAGGAGTCTGGTGCTGTGTGAATGATGATACTGCTCACATGCTGCTTACTGGGGATTAGTTAACTCCAGCTTCCCAAAAGCATCATGGAGTCATTTTTGGAGGAACAGTACAGGCAGACATTGCTATGTGAATTAAAGCACAGTGTAAGAACACACCACGAGAATACAACACGTGAAGAACTGCAGAGGAGCAGAGATCAGCTCACCCTGGAGCTACTGAACTCCATACAGGCAACTAGGGAATGAAGGTGTGGCTGGAGAGTTATGTGATCAATTGGTCTTTTATTGACAAAATTGCCTGAGAATAAATTCCATTAAGTCATATAAAAGCTAAATGTGTGCCCTGGAATAATCATGAGACAATAGTCAATGGAGAGGGATGGCCATGCCTGAGTGTGACCCTCACATCCAGACACCAGGCTCTAAGTCAGGTGGGATGAATCATGTCCCCAAGGGACTACCACTCTCCAGGGACTACAGCTGAGTGGGATGATTAGTTTGGAGTAGCTGTCTAGTCTCTAGATGCCTGAAGTCAGGATGAAGCCTCAGCAGGACTGCAAATGGCAAGAACATTGCATTGATTGAATCAGAAAACAGAAGTTGGCTGCCAGTTGGCTGTGATGCAGTGAGTAATGGCAATAATGATATAATGATATAATGATAACAAAACTGCTGGCACAGAAGTGTTACAGGTGAAATTAAATGTTAGAACAGCTAAAAGAATAACTTAAAATGTGAACAATGTAACCCAGTGTAAGGAAGTTTGGGGAAGTAACAAAGGAAAGGAGCTGTAACATGGTGGGTGTTTTTCTGGAGATCCTTTGCCAGGGTAATAACATAAAATAAGTGTACCATCACCCTATTTTTTTTGCTTCCTAAAGAGCTGAAAATCTAGCTGAAAAGAGTGTGAATTTAAAAAAAGTCATCAAATGCATGTTTTCTGCTGCTGATTCTATAAAGAGGGTTTGTTAAAGGGATTTGCACTGTCTCCAGCTGGTGTTTGGTAATGATCTACTCTCCCTCCAGTAATTTCTCATGGTCCTCAGCACATGAAAGCACACACGATGTAAACATCTCCAGCCTGGCTTGTCAGGTTGGGCTCCTTCAGGGTTGGTGGGGAGGCAGAGATTTCTAGGAGTCAGTTACCTCACCCTGCAGCAGACACCTGGAACAGGCCTGGGAAAATGTGCTTTGGAAGTTCTTATCTCTCCCCTCTGAGCAGCAGGAGCTTGGGCTGCCCAAGTCAGTGACAGAGGTTTACCATGCAGACATCTAAAATTAGATGAGAGGTGTCCTGTCCCTGCTGTCTGGCAAAAGGCTCTAATTGGCACTCCAGAGGGTGATTGGCCAACACAGGATGTGGGAATCCCATCAGCCCATTTTTGCTAGCTAAAACCAGGGATGTTATCTGGAAGTGTTGTCTACACACCTGCAATCAACAGAGAAAAAGACAAGGGGAAAATTCCCTCTGGCTGAACACACGCCCCAAGTGCCACTTCCAATTCAATGTCCCTGGGCAGCTCTGCTCTGGCTGATATCTGAGCTCAGCCAGGATCCAAGCATTAGGCAATACTTCATTCTTCCATCCCACAGATGTTCTTGGAGCTCAGCAAACACAAACAACTTGCCTGGGCTTTCCACAGAATGTACCTGCTGTTTCCTCTTCACGCACACATGGGAGGCAGCCTGCCAACCTGTTTTGTGATAGACCTTGGAGAGCACTCACCTGGGAACATGAGAAGCCAGATTTGCTTTTTTCCTCCCCTCTATTTCAGACTGAAACCCAATCTTCCATCTCAAAACATCAAGGTGCTCCTCAGTGCTGTACCAGCATTTCTGGGAGGCACTGCATAGCAGCACTTCACTGCAGAATTCACTGGCCAGATGCACTCAGCCAGCACAGCTGGATGAAAAAAGTCCCAATTTCAGTTCCTGCACTGAGCTCTGTCAGCACTGAACCCACAGAGCAGTGCAAAGTCAAGTCTCCCCATTTTTTGTCCAAGCTTCCCAACCGTGGCATTACAGCACCTAAGCACAGCAGCAGCACACAAATTCCATGTTTCATCTTTTCCATTCATTTGTTAAGACCCTCTCAAATCAGGGGCGAGGCAGCCTCACACCTGCACCACTGAAGGAGGGCACTGGGCACCAATTGCCAGCCACAGGACAAATCATCCAACCACAAAGGATGTCAGGGGATCCCCATGCCCTGCTGCCCCTGCCCAGCTGTGTGCCCAGCACTGAGGTTCTGTCCTGTTGCAGCTCCAAGGTCTCTACCACCCCTGTGCCATGCAGGGAAGCCAACGTGTGTCCATGGAGCTGCTCTGGGGGCTGATGCACAGCTGGCAGGAGATGGACCACAGTGTGCTGCTTCCCTCAGCTGCTGCCCTGTACTAAACATGGGAAAAAGCACTTCCAGACACCCCTCTGTGTCTTCTTCCAAAGGGAATCCACAGAGATGGAAATGGGTGTTGTAACATCACTGTGGCTGGCTACCAGCAGGAAGAGGGTGCACAGGGAAGGGTGTGGGACATTGAGTAAATCTGCCTAAGATGCCTGGTTTTGACAGAATGTGGAGCAGCCCAGGAGCTGGCAGGTGGGATGAGGAATGAAGGAACCCAGCTCATTGTGATGTAATCATTAATGAAGGCTTTGCATGTGCAGGACTCCTCACTTCTCACAAAAACAAGAAGGAGGGAGCTCTCACTTCTGGAAAAGCTGCAGCAGCTTCCCAACAGGATCCAGGCTCAGCAGCTTGTGCAGGGCCCTCTTACATGAACACACCGGCATGAGACAGCAACAACAGGACAGCAGATGTTGCTGGTTACAGATGTTGCTCTTTATATAACAAGTTAAACACGTGTGGAACAGTCACTGAGATGTAGTATCAGAAGGTAGAATCACTCTCATGTGAGCTCTGCATTCCCAGTGGAAGGATGAGGCCCAGCCATCTCTTCTGTCCCACAAATGAGCAGAGCAAGCTGCCCAGCAGGTTGAATGACTGTAAGCAAAACAAGTACTCCCTCAACATGTTCAGCAACTTCAAGAAGAACACACGGAGGATGCACAGGGCAGCCCTGAACGCCTGAAGAAGGGGCAGTGGTCAAAAATAAAAGTCCTCACCAGAGGAGTCTGGGAAGGATTAGAGGATTGTTAATGTGCAACTGCCCCATCAGGGTGCAGGAGGCCAGGCAGCCCACGGCACCCACAGGTGACAGTTCCTCTGCAGGGGCAGGAGGGGCGGGCACTGCGTAAGCGGCGGAGCCCGCTGGCCACTCGTGCTGAGCCTCAGGGTCTTTCCTATGTCCTTGCCAACTTTCCCAGGCTCTCACATAAGCTGCCACCCTCTCCTTGCCTTCTCACACCTTCCTTCAGGAAAACATGGAGCTTGCTGAGGGCCAGGGTGTGCACACACAACGTGGCCAAAGATGGAGATCCTGTTCTCTGCAGCACAGGAACACCATCACCCAGAGAGCTGGGACAGCTGTCCATCCAGCCTGGGAGAGATGGACACAGTGCAGGTCAGTGGGAAGGACAGGATACAGATTCATCACAGCCTCTTTCAGAGAAAAGAGCAAAGAAGCCTTGATTGGAACTCATTTAGATCACAGAGATCAGACAAGCAGGGGAGATGTGAAGAGGCAGATGGGGAGGGGAGGAGCCCATACAGGGACATCTCCACTAAGCATGGACAATGCTCTCAGGCACAGGGTGGGATGCTTGGGGTCCTGTGCAGAGCCAGGAGCTGGACTCAGTGATCCTGATGGGTCTCTTCCAGGTCAGGATATCCCATGATTCTAAATCAGCTGCCACCAGCATCACCCAAGAAAAAAGCTCATGTACAAGGCTGTGGCCATGACCAAACCCCACACTGGGGCCTGAAGTAACCTCTGCATTTGTGGCACAGCTCTCTGATCAGAAGAATTAGGAAGACACAGCAGTTTCTAGGTATGGATTAACTCAAACACTTACAATTCTTTATACTGGGACTTTCCTCTTCCTGGAAGGAAGCACCCAGTGCAGCTTTGGAGCTCGAGGCCTCATTCAGCACACATCAGCAAACCTCTCCAAATACTTCAGCACATCCCTGGGATGCAGACAACCACCAGGATTAAACCATTCTCCAACAAGTAGGAGAATGGAAAATACAAGTGGGTCCCAGGGTAGGGCATGGGTCCCACTGCTCCTCAGAGTGGTGCCATGCAGTGCCACTGGTACATTTCACAGGGAGCAAGCTTGCACAACCAGCCCCACCCTCCCAGCTTCACCTACTCTGCATTCAACTAATTGAAAACTGGTGGAAAAATTTGTTCTTGGTGTCCAGTTTCTGTTTCCCACATTTGCTGAGCCAAGGGCAGGGAGAGAGGACAGTGGTTAATTCTGACTGTCAGGTCAGGAGCAGCAGTTCTGACCTGAGGGCTCGGTGGGGCAGAGACACAACTGAAAATATTACTTTGTGGCAGGTGAGGACAGGAGTCACAAATCTGGGAAGTGGCAACTGCACTTCAACAGGGTTTAAGCACTGGATAGCACAGGAAATGTGGAGATCATTGAGGATTCCTGTGCTCTCAGCACTGCAGCACATTGAAGATACAGGAGAAAACAGTTCAACACCCAAGGGTGGTGTGAGCCCAGCAGCCAAGGTGACACAGGAAAACATTTAACCACCTAAAATAGAGTGGGCATTAAAGAGCATCAGATGATTCCCCCTTACTCCAAAACATCTCAAAAACACCAGCCTAAAGCAACAGACTTCCCAGGTTTGACCCTGTGAGGTAAAACATGCTCCTACTCTTCCATGGTGCAAAACAGAAGATAAGGAGGACACTGAGTGCTGATCCTTCTACCCACAGAGAGGAACCCAGGATCCAGCTGAAATCATGACTGCTTCCTAGGGGCTCATGTCTCTTAATTTTAAGATTCCTGGAAGAGTTGAAGAGTAAGTCCTTTGGAATCCTAAGTGATGTCCAAATGCTGTATATGAGATAAGAGATCAGGCTAGATGATAAAGTGGTTCCTTCCAGAAGAAATTCACACAGATATGTTCATTTAAATACAGTAAGTGTCTCCAAGCTGATGGTCTGAGACCACTTTCCCAAAACCCAACAGTATAAACAAAGAACTGTCCATAAGTGAGGTATCTTTAGTCATTCCCTTTGGAAAACTTTGAAAATATGTAAAGATGGGCTTTACAATGTTTGGTTAACCCCTCTCTGTTCTGCTGCCCTTGAAGCAGAGCTGTGCATAGGAATCACTCACCTGCCAGTCTCTGCTGCTGGAACACTTGCAATGGGAAATGTACTGTCTTTCCTCCTGCCTGGAGAGGTATCTTATGGAAGATACTGGCAAGGGAAGTTTTCCAGCTCACCTTTCCTCCCCTTTTGAGAGCAATAGGGGTCACATTAGAATCCCAGAATGGTTTGGCTTGGAAGGAACTTTATTTAAAGTTCATCTCATTCCACCCCTTGCCATGCCATGCCCCTTCCACCATCCCAGGTAGCTCCAAACCCTGTCCAACCTGGCCTTGGACACTTCCAGGGCAGCCACGGCTTCTCTGGGCAACCTGTGCCAGGGCCTCACCACCCTGGCAGGGAAGAATTTCTTCCTGGCATTCAACGTAATATTGTAGGATCCTTTTTCTGGGTAACTGATGACTGGGAAGGAAAGTCTTCCCTGGTCCTGTGTAGCCTCCAGTGGATTTTGCCTCTCTAACAAATTACCCTTTTAATTCAGAGAGAGTACCTGCCTTGTTTTTTCACCAGGCCCCACACGCCCAAGCACAGCCCATTGCTGGCTCAGCCCTTGCAGGGGTGAGTGAAGGCATTTCATGGCCCAGCCAGAGCTGTGATTACAGGTCTTTATTCTCACCCTAATAAAAGGTACAAGGGCAGATGCCAGTGA